GGGAAACCACCCCCCCCCCCCACCAAAATGGTCCAAATTTAAGAATGGTGTAATAAATATTCAGTTTAAAAGTCGTTTGGACATGAGAATATTAATATAGTTCAAGGGCGTGAAATAAAAAAGTGTGCAGTGACGTATCATGGGGGGTAAGCGGGGTGTAGCGAAATTATGGAATTTTTCATTATGCGTTTCTTGAGTTAAAGATTTGTCCAATAACTTAAGTAGAGGGGAAGTTCACGCATTGCTGTACCCATTGTTTAGCGACCTATAAGCAGTATTAATATATTTAAGAGGCTTGAGAAAATGTGCTGTGCGAGCTTTGGGGGAGAGCACTAATTGGGGATTCGCATAAAGTGCGTCACTTGAATGCATGTTTTGTAAAAATCTTCAGCCGCAACCCGCAATATTTTTCAATATTACATTCTATAAAGGTTGTTGAATTATTCACTTGTGATGATTAATAGTATTAAACAAGTGTGTACCTATGATGATTAATAATAATAAGCAATTGCGTTTCAAAGGTGATTAATAGTAATAAACAATTGTGAATCCATGGTGATTAGTAGTGAAAAAAACGATGGTGTACTTATGATGATTAAAAGTAAGAAACAATGCACGAAAGTACAAAGTAATTGCGGCGAGGATCTCAATCTTTTAGATACATGTAATTTTTTTTTTCAGCTTACAACAGAATTATATCCATCACATCAACAACAACAAAATAACCTCCCGAGGCGGAATCCCCCGTCCCCTTTCCAAGTCTGGTGGATACAAGCCTCTACATTTAAACATTTAGATAATCTTCTATTGTGGCGCTCCGTGATTCTGGCGCCCGGGGCGCCCACTTGCCTCTTTCTTAGTCTAGGGGATGTAAACCTCTACATGTAAACATTTATATACCCTTCTATTGTGGCGCTCCGTGATTCTTGCGCCCTGGGCGTCCACCTGCCCTCTGCCATTGCACTGAAGCTCGCCGAGCTCATATAAATAATAGGATTTTAAGAATACGCAAACGATAAATATATATATATATATATATATATTTTATTAGTAAAAGTATACAAACTAGGATATTCATTGTAACATTTTATTCAAATTTTAAGATTCGATTTGTCCGAGCCTCTGGCTTAGGTGGCGTGGCCATCGTGGATCTGGATGAAGATGATTTCAAGGGGATCGAGTGTGGCAATGGAACATATCCTCTGACGAGAATCGTGAAAGCTGAGTGTACTAAACGAATGCACTGAACGAATGCACTGAAACATTCTAATAAATAAAAGTATACAGACTGGACATTTCTCTTGTTACAATTTGTCTTGTGTTCTTTATGAAAAGAAATTTAGCAGTTGCCAGAATGAACTCTTTTTATATTCCATTTTTTTTTGATGAATTGAAATATGAAATGTTTTAGCCCGTGTTGTGACCGAGTTTTTATTGACCACGAACACTGACATTCAATCTTACCTCCCAGCCTCACTTTATTTATACTGACGTAAACCGATTAAATATGTACAGCACATTATTTTTGCACAGATACAAACAGCCCTACCTGAATCTATATGGTAAAGTGAAACATTTAAAAGGGGAAAAAAGATCTACAGCAGCTGGGAATCCAAGCATGGAAAAGAAGAGCATCATTTAGGTATGAGTGGAAGGAAGTGGTTTAGCAGGCCAAGGCCCTACATGAGCAGTTTCGCCACAGGTATGGATGGATGACATGGAAAACAAATATTACTCATCTCCAATTTTTTTCTCTCCTCGCTCAAATGCACTTATCATTTCAAGCAACAGTTCATACACATAACATTACAACCTAAAGTCTCGTTCATCCACACACATCTCCTTACCACCTTATTTCCCATACATCTACACACATCTCCTACCCCATTGATGTCCAACTAATCAAAGCACATCTACTTACCACCTTATGCCCCATTTGCAAACACACTTCTCCTTACCGTCTTACGCCCTTACAATCCACGCACCTCCCATGCCCATTTTAAGCTCATAATCGACAAACATCTGCTTAGTGGCTCATGCCCTTATAAACCTTACACCTCCCTTAATTACATGAAGCCCCCATTGAGACTTAACATTACCGTAATCAGCTCCAGGCCCCATATATTCCTTGTCGTTTTAAGTTCCCAAGCCATGCAACTACTCTCACAGTCCTAAGGCCATAATCATACCTCCTAGTCTGACCGTTTTAAGACCGCAATCAATATCCCCCTTACTTTTGTATAAGCCCCTAATTCACAACCACACCCACCCCCTTTTCCTATTTTAAGCTCCCATTCACTTTCAACCTTACCATAATAAGCTCACAATAACATCACATTATTATGCAATCTTAATGCCCCATTCCACACACCGCCCTCATTTAGCGAACTGAATGAGGTGACCTTAAACAATCGTTGACACACTTTAAAGTGAGCCTGAAAGTTGCCTTTAACAACAGACATGTGTGTCGGTTTTAAAATAAACTTTAAAAAGAAACATCATTTTACGAAATTCAGAATATTTTTTGTTTGGTGGTTTGACAGTAATATATATATACATATTTTTTACAAGGATGGAATTGACTTAATATAATGAGACCTCGCATACGTAATTATTATAACACAAAATGTACACAGCTTTAACAAAACGTCTGTGCCTTTAGCTCAGCTCACGTAGCGGACCAGTTGGTACATACATTTGGCATTAACGCATCTATTTCAAGACAATGTCCTTTGAATCTATCCGTGGAATCAATGTGAAAATACTTCGCCTAAAGATCACCTTGGGGAATACATTCAGTAGGTGTATGACATTAAAATGGATAGCAAAGTCGACCCTTGGGGAATACATTCAGTTGGTGTATGCCATTAAAATGGATAGCAAAATCGACCCTTAAGGAATACATTCAGTTGGTGTATGACATTAAAATGGATAGCAAAGTCAGTCGACCCTTGGGGAATACATTCAATTGATGTATGACATTAAAATGGATAGCAAAGTCAGTCGACCCTTGGGGAATACATTCAGTTGGTGTATGCCATTAAAATGGATAGCAAATTCGACCCTTGGGGAATACATTCAGTTGGTGTATGCCATTAAAATGGATAGCAAAGTCGACCCTTGGGGAATACATTCAGTTGGTGTATGACATTAAAATGGATAGCAAAGTCAGTCGACCCTTGGGGAATACATTCAGTTGGTGTATGCCATTAAAATGGATAGCAAAGTCAGTCGACCCTGGTCAACAGAGCCCGTTTACACCAGCGGCGTAGCTATTGCAGTGCCACCATTGGGGAGCGAACAGTTTTTCCGTACTCCCTTTCACTATACGAAGTCTTCAGTTGCCCGAAAAGGGCAACCCCTCAAAATAAAGAGGACAAAAATTGACATGGTGCCGAAAACCCACTTTCACAACTACAACCGGCATTGCGCCCCCCCACCCGCCTTCGAACTTCGGAAAAGCCCCCCCCCCCCAACTGTCCCCCCAACTGGAGGAAATTGTCCGAAAGAAAGACTGGTTGTGCTAACCTTGGTCTCACCATTATTCCGTAAGGTCAAAGTGCATTACTTTGTAAACGCTCAGCTCAGGCAAATTTCTGTTTGGTGGCCATTTTATATATTTGTGTAAATTATTTTATTCCAATTTAAAAAAAAAAAACAAATAAAATAAAAGACAACAATTCTTGCTCATTACCTCGGTTCTATCACTATCTCGATCAACCGCCTGTACTTTTATTTTAATTGTATTACACATGGGATCATTCTAGATACATTTCTCGTCTTCTAAAGATCATTCCTAAATACCTGGACCCGGACTCGCAACCATCGGTTAAGATCTCAAATTACCCGGACCAAAAAGCAGACTGTTCAGCATTTTTTTTTTTGGTTGGGTATTTGTTTAAAAAAATATATTAAAGTTTTATAAGGATATTGTAAAGACAATCTTGTCTTGTGTAGCTATATCGTTGTTATTATTAGCATCTAGATGTAGCCAGCCGAAAAATTGCAGCCGAAATGCGTGAACTGACATCTTCTTAAGGTATGCGGCGATAAGAAGATGTGTGTAGATTAATGAGCCTTATGGTGGTAAGGAGATGTATTTAGAGCATAGATTAATGAGACATAATGTGGTAAGGAGACATGGGTAGATTAATGAGACACGAGGCTTTATGGAAATGTGTGTAGATCAAAGAGAGATATGGTGGTAAAGTGAAGCGTGCGTATTAATGAGAAATATGGTGGCAAGGAGCTATGTGTAGATGTGGTGGTAAAGAGATGTGTGTAGATAAATTATTCATAAGTTCGTAAGGAGATGTGTGTAGATTATTTAAACATATGGTGGTAAGGAAATGTGTGTATATTAATAAGCCATATGGTGGTAAGTAGATTAATGAGCCATAAGACATTAAGGAGATGTGTGTAGATTAATAAACTTATGGTTGTAAGGAGATTGTGGAGATTAATGAAAGATACGGTGGTGAGGAGATGTGTGTGGATTAATGAGACTTAAGATTGTAATGCTATGTATGTGAATTTGCTGTATGAATTGATAAGTGGAGTTGGGCAAGGACAGAAAAAAGAATGGGAATGGGTAATATTTGATTGTCATCCATCCATTCAACAATGTGTTGCAACAGCTTATGTACAGCTTTGGCCACTTCCTTACAATCAGACTCAACTGATGCCTTGCTTTTCCATGCTTGGATTCTCATCTTGTATACCTTTTTCTCATTAATATTTTATTTCTTTATGTATATTGTGGTAGGGCTTTTTGTATTCGTGTAAAAATGATATGCGAATCGGTTCACGTCAATATGGAAAAAAAAGGAGGACATGAGGTAAGGATGAACGTCAGTGCGTGTGGTGAATAAAAATTAGTTCAAATCACAGGCTATAACATTCTTAATTTCAATTCATCAAAACAAAAGTGGAATATAAAAGAAATCATAATCTTAACGAAAATTCTTTCTACAAAGAACACAGTGTATTTCATAACAAGGGGAATATTCAATGCGTATATTTTTATTTATTAGAATGTTCTAGTGCATTCGATTTGTGCATTCGTTTACTGCATCCTTTTCGTGGATCCGTTCAGTACATTGGTGTAGTGCATTCAGCTTTCACGGTTCTTGCCAAAGGATATATTCCAGTGTTGCACAAATACCCCAAGAAATCATCTTCACCTAATTCCACAATGGCAACGCCACCATAGCCTTTGGTTCGCACAAATCGAATCTTGAAAAAAATTGAATAAATTGTCACAATGAATTGCACATTTTTAAAACACTTTTACTTATACAAAAATGTAAATTTATTTGTTCGCAAATTCTTACAATCCAGTTGTTTTATAATAGATCGACGAGCCTGGTGCCATGTGAAAGGGGCGGATGGACGCCCCATACGTTATAATAACGGAGCGCAAAAATGGTAGATTATATTAAAAAAATAATGTATGTAGAGGACTATATCCACTAGACTTGAACAAGGGGTTGAGGGGAGCGGTTTACAGTCTTAGGGAGCACTCATTGGGATTATTATAAAGACTCCCCCCCCCCCGCATATATTAATATTTGAATAAGAATCCGCTTTTAGACTGCGCATTTAGTTAGTATTAACTTGTCAACAAAGATTTTAGAATAAAAGAATTTACAACGCAGAAAACGCAATGCGTTTTTTTTCAAGAATCACTTTTAGAGCAGATATCAGGAATTTTATTTCATCAGTGGTATCATATTTCATTCATTACGTCCTTAAGAAAAAGGAAAAAAAAAACACTTATTTTTGGGGGGTTGGGGTGGGGGTTGCAAATTTGATCAAAAATGGGCTTATCAGGAACGAGAATATGTGCCAAGTTTCAGCTCGATAGGTTGACGAGAAGTAGGTCAGTTTGAAGCATGCAGAGTTTGCCCCCTCAGCCGCCCAGTCGACCAGCAACGAACAAAAGAAATGTTATTGTAAAGAATTTAAAATTAAACATCCCCCCAAAAACAAAGATTTTTTGGGGTATGAATCCTCTTAAAAATGTCATATCGGACCATTTGGATCAGGCTGATTATATTGCAAAACGTGCATTCAGTTAACTCACGTCATAAGAATCCCAATTAGTGCTCTACGCCAAGTCCCGCCCCTGAAACATATTACATTCTCACGACCCACCCGCTTTTACACCGTAGATTTATTTCACCTATTTGAGAAAAAAATAAAGGAAACATTACGCGCCAAACGCACTGCGATGATTTTTTTTAAAAGAATGACATTTATTCGCAAAGATATCGTTTTTAAAAAAAAAATTCTGCATGTTTTCTTCGCTTTTGTTCGTGGCTGGCTAGCCAGCTGGCAACATAATCATGGGACGGTTACTGGACTCACCCCCAGTCAACCTATCGGGCTAAAGCTTGGCGAATAGACTCGTTGCCAGTAACAACACATTTCTTAAAATTTTTCACACCCAACCCCCTCCACCCACCACAAGCCACAAAAAATCAGTTTTCACCATCATTAAAAAAAAAAGGGAAGTTAATATAAAGGATTTAAAAAGTTAAATCAGCCATTAGCAATGGCGTATCGGACAGGTCCTTATACTTGAGATGACGTAATAATTACAAGATGATGTTTAAAAAAAATGAAAAATTAAACCGTATATTTAAAAGTTATTAATATTTTTAAAAAAATAAATAAATAATTGAAATACAAATTTTATTGCAAAACTCCAATACAAACATACAACTAATATAAAAAAAAACACAAGAAACAAACAAAACAACAAAGGACATCTAGATATCCTAAACCATGTCATCTGCAGCTCTCCGTTAAAGAGAGAGTAGAATTATCAAAACTAATTCATATATGCGAATTAATATAATTTCTAAAAATTGAGGCAGTGGGGCTCAATGCGCCCGCCCCCATATGCCATTTCCTCCTCATGCCCGGGAGCCATCGGCTCTCTCAATTTCTGCTCCACACCATCTCCTATCAAGTAAAATGCCGGATTAACCGAGCGGCAAGTGAGTTGTGTGCCTAGGGGCCACGCGGCAAGATATCGACTTTTATTTTTGGGGTGTTAGCTTGTCGAATTGTTTGTATCTTGAACTTGCGTGCATGTGAGTAATGTGGAGTAGTTTTGGGTATCCTCATACATAGTTAGTTATGACGTTAAGGGGAGAAAACAAAATAAGGAGAACCAACAAAATTCGTTAACGTTTTCACAAACGGTAATCATCAAAACTAGGATTTTAAGAATGTTTCTCTGCTTTAAATAACTATTAATAGCAGCGTTGTATAATATTAAATGTTAACGTCAGGTTGCTGGGTCAGTGATTATGCAACAGAACAATGATGTGAAAAAAAATATACCTTAGACATGAGCTTAGATAGAAGGATATGGACAACTTTCTGAGGGGGAATTGGGGGGGGGGGGAGGAAATATGACAAGGAGAAGCACTGGTATATCCTGATACAATTCTTGACCTTGATGGTTTCCCTCATTTGCCCACTCCCCTGAGTATTGCCTCTGAGAGTCAAAACCTGCGCATGGGTCCCTACGTGGCTTTATTCAGCAGTGGAGACAGTCCTGGCACCATTTTATTGTATACAAACAATGTTTTATTTTTACAAATGTATCATATATTAATTCTATGTCATTTATTGAAGAAATTAAAGGGGCGCTATTTGAAGACTTTGCACATGTGTTTTTTTTTTAATGATTACCTTTTCCTTGAAGCTCTCCACGTTGTCATAAGACAAAAAGTAGTTATCCACTATATGATATGGTGCACGAGCCAAGGAGTCCCAATAAACTTTGCCTCTATTTTTACTCCAAGCGCATATCTGCAAATAATAATACACCAAAAGACATCAGCAATGCGTTTCTTAAGATCATTTTTTTATTTGCGCCAAAAACTAATTTTTGAAATTTTTTATACGCGTAACTTCCACATAAGTTTGGAGATGACAAATTGTAGTTGTAAATTGTAATCATGTCAGTTACAATTTTAAAAATAAAATGTTCAAGGAGGAAATATTAATAGGAAAAAAAACCACCAAAAAACACAACTAATGTTTTTCAAAGATGGTTTATTTAAACTATTATATAGTACATCCCTCGTTAGCCTATTGGGGGCGGAGAAAATAAAAACCTAATCTATTATTACATAGTGTTCAATAAAACGGAATACTTTTTTTTAAAGACCAGAATGCACCTTAATTTAAAGAAACGACTTCCTCTAATCTACCATTTTAAAGATTTTTTAATTTTTTTTTTGGTCTACTCCCAAATCCACGGATTTGTTACTTTGTGGCATTGATCGCGTCTGCCTCGTACATAGAACGACGGATAAGGATGGGATGGGGGAGCTCAGATGACAGCTGTGGGGGTTCGGAAGGTGTCAGGGGGGCAGTAGGCAATCACGTTCTGAACCACGGACGGCTCGCTACAAGGGTCTTAAAACGATGCAGCATTTAAATTCCATTATTTTTAAATTTTATTCCTGTGTCGATGTTGTGTCACTCCAACAGGAACTGTGCAAGCATTCGTTATTTACAAAAAGTAAATAATTCTTCTTTTATTTTTGTCGATAATTTCAAAATTTCAATTTTAAATAATAAAAATAGAACAGAAATTAAAAATATTAATTAAAAAATACAGACTTTCTATCAAAGACACATAAAAAAATAAAAATAAATATCTATTTTTTACTCATAGTATGCATTATGCAAAGTAAGCTTGTGCAGATTATGTTTTGAAAAATAAATAAAAATATAAATTATATTTAGTAACACTTTTCCTCAAGTTTTCCGGACAGTTATTTGTCTTGTCTACTTCTAAATCGACTGTTTCCTATAATTATTTCTGGTGGGGCTACTTTTTGGTGAATTTCTGCCTTGTCTATAATTTTCTATAGTTGCCTAATTCTCTTTGTAATACTCTACATTCTGCTTTCCTGTGAACATTTCTGCCACAGTGGAAACATGCATTATGCGATTCATAACTTGTGCTTTGTTTAAAGTGATTGTTCTGCCAATTTGCAGGAAGACTAGTCAATCTTGTGTCACGTGGGTTTCTCCATGATATCTTACTATTTCTGCTGCTGTCTATGGCTGCGGCTGATTTTGGTCTTTTGTCCAGAACTTTATGAACATGCGCATCCTTAAAAGTGCAGATTGCATCTGCTAAACATTTTTCTATTCTAATTTTTTTTGTCTTTTTTAATTAAGAAGACAAACAATGGCTCTGATGCATGTCTAAGTCCTTTTGTCAACAATAGATTTATCCATCAGAGCTTTTGGTCTTTTAGAGTTAATTTTAGTTTGCTCTAACCATTTGTTTACGTTAACTTTTATTGTAAAAACCGTGGTATGAGGATCTGAATTTCTATCAATCCTAGTAGTGTGAAACATGGTCCTGTAATCTTCTTCCTTTCGGCCATAGTATTTCAATACCAGCAGAAAAAGATAAAATATAATATAACTTAATCAAATTAAGTCTAGTCTGAAATAATTTCACGGTCTTTCTGGTCTACAGTACTGCCGAAAGAGTGGATCTTAAGTAAATCACTTCTTTTGTTCCAATAAAAGATATCCGTTAACTGGAAGTTACTACACACAACACATGCTAATGTAGGTTTACACGGTGCTCCATCGTGATTACTTGCTTGGCACTGTCTATTTATAGCTTGGTTAAAGTGTTACTCCTAAAACTTGACCTCAGTGAACATTTGAGTTTGATGGCTTCCAGCACTTTTGTAGGCTTTATGCCCCTTAGTTTTGTTCTGACACCATGTGCGACACTTCTCCTCTTCGTGTTACTTATAACTTGTATATAACCTGTGTCACAGCTGTGTCTTGACCAGTGTCCAATACTTCTCAATTATTAATATGATAAACTGCTATGAAAGCACGAGATAAATCAAAAGGATTTCAATCCCCAATTAACTTTTATTTACGTCGACACAAAGATTCACGCTATAAAATAAGATATCCAATAGAAGAAAACAATTGTCATGATCTCATATACTTCATAATCTAAAGAGATGAACGATGGCTGTTCCGATTCAAGTTGATGTAACCTCAAAACAAGCAAAAACAAAATTCACCATACAAACCCCTTTAGTTTAACTATGTCCAATCTCATCCTTAACTTTCTTCCTCCCATCTGCGCATGATATTCAATAATTCCATCTTAATACAAGAAAAAAAATTCACGGTAATAAATATCTAATAATTAAAACTTTATATACAAAAGTGGTACGCTAGATTTTTAGATGTTTAAGAAATCTGTCTGGGATATTCGGAAGGTGTCAGGGGCAATAGGCAATTTGGCTCTGAACAACAATGTTAAATAAAAGCTTTATAAAATACCAGTCAGTGTTTCTTTGAGAAATTTTCCCCCCGGGGGGGAGGGGGGGGCATTTCAGACTTTCCGGAGGGGCAGTGCCAGTTGGTTAATTGTTGGACATATTTTTGCTCCTGGGGGGCAATTGGCTTTCACGGGGGGGGGCAGTGCCCCCCTCCCCCTGGAGATAAAACTGAAAGAAAGCCTGCAGTATTTTTAATAGTTTACCTCATAAGAAGTTAAACCGCCTGGGGTTTTCATCGTGTTCCCAATCTTGGGTAGGCCTACCGCAATACTTTCATGAAGCTTCACGTCACTCGCCGATGACGTGTTCACTAATCTTCCATAGGCGGCGAGCGCAATGTTCATTTTAGATTTCCGCATGCCCATATCCACCCAATATTGTGCAGTTTTTTCCTGTGTGAAATTGGAAGAATTTATGAAAGAGAATTACGTCCTTAAAGATATTACTTAAAACACCATAAGCTCCTCGATGTAAATCTCTGAAATTTCAGATAGGGAATACATGTCTGGTTTAAAAATCTGTTATAACAGCTCCATATGTATAAGAGTAGATTGTTTCGTTATTTTAAGTATTAAGAGGACGTTTTCCATGTCATGCGCAGATAGAGAGAAAGAGAGAGAGAGAGAGAGAGAGAGAGAGAGAGAGAGAGAAGGATGAGAGAGAGAGACAGAGAGCGAGAGAGAGAGAGAGAGATGAGAGAGAGAGAAAGTTGAGAGATAATATTAAATGGAGGAGCTGCACTTGGATCGTATGTAAGATTTTAGGATCAAGTGACGTCACATCAAGTAGCAGCAAATCGCTGAGCTGTACGTATTACAAAGAGTATAAATGATATGCTATCATGACAGTTATATTAATCCATTTGGATATTTATTTATGTTGTGATCCTTTAATGTGGATTAAAGTGATAGAGATGGAAAGATGCTCTGCCCCGTCTGGCGCCTTCACTTGATCCTGTACTTGATCATTGATTAGTGTCAGAACGTTGTCGGGCCACATCAGTAGCACAGGCTACACATCAGTGAAACAGGCTACACATCAGTTACAGAGGCTGCACATCAGTAACACAGGCTACACAGCAGTAGCACAGGCTACACATCAGTTACACAGGCTATACATCAGTAGCACAGGCTACACATCAGTCACACATGGTGCAAGAAGAAGTGTTACATATGGTGTTACCCATCAGTCACATATAGTGCAAGAAGAAGTGTTACAGTTGGTATTACACATCAGTTACAAAGTGTACAAGAAGAAGTGTTACAGTTGGCGTTACCCATCAGTTACACATGGTGCAAGAAGAAGTGTTACAGTTGGTGTTAAACATCATTTACACATAGTGCAAGAAGATGTGTTACAGTTGGTGTTACACATCAGCTACACATATTTGAAGAAGTGTTACAGTTGGTTTTACACATCAGTTACACATAATGCAAGAAGAAGTGATATAGTTGGTGTTACACATCATTTACACATAGTGCAAGAAGAAGTGTCACAGTTGGTGTTACACATCAGTTACACATAGAGCAAGAAGTGTTACAGTTGCTGTTACACATCATTTACACATAGTGCTAGAAGATGTGTTACAGTTGGTGTTACACATCAGTTACACATAGTGCAAGAAGAAGTGTTACAGTTGATGTCGACCATCGGGTATACATCCGTTTCATCTGAAATAACTTTAAAAAAAAAATGCAAAGCTGGATGAGATTGAAGTCTGATGTTCTGATCAAACAAACAAACCCGAACAGAAGCTCAACATTTTGTAAGCAATGTTATACCAAAGACACTAGAAATAATCCAAAGCTGTGCGTATTGGGTTCTGCTATACATGTTAATTCGCACGCCCAAGACTTGAGTTTCGGGAGCCAATGTATTAACCTTAGCCGAAAGGAGCGAAACCTAGGTTCCTTACATGATTTTATTTTGTCTAGTGTCATCAAAATCTGATTGGTAAACAAAACCTTAGTCATGGCAATATTAAGCTCCATCTTTACGGCCGTGTATTAAATTTGAGCCCTCACTATCAACCATTGATAATTTCTGCTGGGATGTCTCGACAGCGATGCACATTTTAACACTATCTGCTTGATTCTCACCTTTTGATGGAACCAACACTTCACTTCTTGCTGAGTACAAAGACATCACATACATATTTTTTTTTCATACAAGACGAATATATAAGTATATTTTAACTTCAATAAAAATGTATTTGCTGACCAAAAAGGTCAAATTTTTTCAAACAGGTCAGACATTTATGCTTTGGTCGTAGGATTACCTCTAATGAAGTGCTGGGATGACACAGTCATCCAGGCGCAACCCATCGCAACTTGATTACACAACCATCATGTCACACAGCTCTTACCATCTTAATGACACAAAACCATTATGTCCTCATCAAATTGATCACACAACCATCTTGTCACACAACTCTTATGATCTTTACCGTACAACCACCACGTTGCGCCATCATCTCCATCTTGATAAAACAACCATCATATAACACAATTCTCACTTTTTTTAACACACAACATTAGGTGTTCGTGTTCATAAGGTATTAGAAAGCTTGTGTTGTGGTTAAAAGTAAAAAAAAATGTTAAGTTACGTATAGAAAAGATCACGAAAATCGTAAAAACATAAAATGATATGAACTAGAAATCCGGACCTCGTTATTTAATAGTTTGAAAAGAATTTGTGACTTACAATATTGTTCCCTTTGAATGATTTCACGGGGGTATGATGGCCTATTGGTTGATCCATATTGCCCGAATAGTCAAAGGTAGCTATTGTAATCATATCGACATGCCTGGAATAAATCATTTGTGCGAACGTAAAAACTTACAAATAAAAAAAACTCCAGTTTTTCTCAAATATATCTAAGAGAATCCTTGGTGATAAATTTGTTATTGTTTCTGTGTTATAATTTTGCTTGTGTGGTCTTCTTGTTTGATACCAACTACCTGGCTGGGCGATTTATTTCGACACTAAGACTTGTTGTTTCTTCTTCTTTTTATGCCCTTTTTACCCCGTCTGGGGCATGGGGCATCTTCCACATGCGTCCAGGTGTATGCCATATTTTGCGTGTCTGCCTCTAGCTCGCGTCTCCATGTATTCTTTGGCTTTCATCTTTTTCTTTTACCCCGTGAATTCCATATTTTTTTATTTATTTAGGCATTTTTATATAGCGCTTATCATAAAGCTCTAAGCGCTTTACAATTATTAAAACATGTAAACTAAGTAAATACAAATGAGACACTAGGATAGTAACTACTATTCTATAGAAACAATGAAAATGGCTATAAAACGAGGACACTTTGACACTTCAGGATCAACCCGAAACAGAAAATGAGGTAGGGCAAGGAAGGTGCATCACAGGTCATAGGCGGACCTAAACAGATGAGTTTTAAGGGACTTTTTGAAAATGGACGAGGTTTCACTATGAGCATATACCTTCCCCTCGACCAAGGTCTTGCACCCGGGTACCTTCGTCAAGGAGCGTTCACCGATGGTCTTAGTTTTAGTTCTTGGGATTGAGAGGGTTCTACTGTCAATGGAAGAACGTAGTTGTCTTGTGGAGATATTAGGGATTGTCTGGTGCTAATTTGTGGGGGTTTTAGGAGAGTATGCCCTATCCACCTCCATCTTCTCCCCTTATAACGTCTTCATCACTGGGCACCTGGTAAGTACTTTCTAGTAAATCCTTTTTAGTGATGGTATTTGGTCATTTGATTTTAGGATCATTCTAAGGCATGTGTTTATGAAGGTCTGTACTTTCTGCGTAATGCTAACTATTGTTTTCCAAGTTTCTGCTCCGTATAAGAGAACTGTTTTGACATCTGTGTTAAAGATTCTGACTTAGGTTTGCAGCTTAAGCTCCTTCGACTCCCATATTTTCTTTAATAGCACAAATGCTGATCTAGCTTTTCCACTCCCGGCCAATACTTCCGCCTCGGATCCGCCATGGTGATGGTGCCGCCCCTGAGTATGTGAAGGACTCCACTTCTTCCAGTGCCTTTCCTGCCAGAGAGATATGCTCTTGGTTGGCTGAGTTTACCTTCATCATCTTCGTCTTGCTTTCATTTATATTGAGTCCGAACTGTGCTGGTATATTGCTTACGTCTTTCGACTTTTCCTGCATTTGGTGCTGGCTGTGGGACAGAAGTGCAAAGTAATCCACAAAGTCTAGGTCATTCAGTTGTTCCCAGAGTGTCCACTGTATCCCATTCATTCCTTTTTTTTTGTCCCTGGATGTTTTCATTACATCGTCAATGGCGAGGGTGATTAGGAAGGGGGACAAGAGACATCCTTGTCTGACTGCAGTTTCCACTTTAAAGTCATCCATGAGTCTACCTTCGTGGACCACCCTGTTTAGGGACACCAAAACAATTGCTACCTTTCAATCTTTTATCATTATCTCTATTTAAAAACGAATAATTTTATTTATTATTTTGAATTGTGTGTAGGGTAAATGAATTTGTTATTATTTTGAATTGTGTGTAGGGTAAATGAATTTGTTATTATTTTGAATTGTGTGTAGGGTAAATGAATTTGTTATTATTTTGAATTGTGTGTAGGGTAAATGAATTTGTTATTATTTTGAATTGTGTGTAGGGTAAATGAATTTGTTATTATTTTGAATGGTGTGTAGGGTAAATGAATTTGTTATTATTTTGAATTGTGTGTAGGGTAAATGAATTTGTTATTATTTTGAATTGTGTGTAGGGTAAATGAATTTGTTATTATTTTGAAGCTGTATAAAATCGGTTTTAAAGTTTCACTTTTGACAATTGGTCAAGAAATGTCAATTGACGTCCAAGTCCATTTCAACTTCCCGAGCTCAAGTTTATAGAATAAATATTGCCAGAGAATAAGAGATGGATAGGAATCATCATACTTAGCTGACAGACCATTTGCAACATCGGTATTGATGACAGGGAGTTTATTGATAGCTGATATCTATGCTACAACAATACTTTAGAGGTCTTGTTTTTTAAATTGCTATAATAATAATAATTAATGCTATATAGTTATATTATATAATAATTATAGTAAAATGTTGTCTTGGGTAAAATATGTATTCTTTTATGTGCTGAAAATGAATTTGCAAATTGTAAGCCCCCCCCCCCCCCCCCCCCCCCCAAAAACAAAAAAAAAAATTATATTATATAAAAATTATAGTAAAATGTTGTCTTGGGTAAAATATGTATTCTTTTATGTGCTGAAAATGAATTTGCAAATTGTAAGCCCCCCCCCCTCCCCCCGAAAAAAAAATTAAAAAAAAAATTCCATATATCTGGATCCATAAAAGAATCTTATCTGATCTTATCTTAAAAGATGTAAATGGGTCACCGAGAACAAATAAAAATAATAACCGGGCCAAGAGAAAAACGTTTTGGGAAAAGCTGTTGTGAGTCTTATGTTAAATTAGAAGTTGAGTACCTTGCAAAGGCCGTGACATCGAACCCACGATCAATTGCCTTAAATTCCTTGTGACCCCAGGCCGATAATAATAATTTCTGGCGATCGCCAGTCAAAGTTTCCTCCCTAAAGGCTCTCTTCAACTCCTAATGAAGAAGGTGAGAGAGGGTCAAGGTTATTGATTAAAGAAATTGTGTAAAGGGGAGAGAAAAAAAATAATGGAAGTTAAAGTGAATGTGTAGATAATAATGGGAGTTATAGCGAGTGTTTGCATAGTAATAAAAGTCTTAGCAAATGTGTTGATAGTAATGGAAGTTATAATTAATGTGTAGATAGTAAAAAAAAAAATAAAGCGAATGTGAAGATAGTAATGGAAGTTATAGCGAATGTGTAGATAGTAAAGAAAGTTATAGGGAATATGTAGATCCAAATGGAAGGTATAATGATTGCGTGGAGATTAAATGAAAATTATAGTAAAGGAAGTTATAGCGAATATGCACCGTTTTTAAAAAGGTCTTTGCGCAGCCTTATAAAGTCACCACGCTGAAGGCCAGGGTCTACATCAGCGTCAATAATTCTATTCAATAAACTATTTTCTACCGGTACTCCAACTTTTCTCATGGGATATCAACAAATACACAAATAAATAATTTTCAAAACATTTTCAACCACTCCAGTTTGAGTATTTTAAACTCGTAATTACTTTACGTTGTGTTAACACTCAAATAAGATTTTAGATTCCATTATATATCCCCCTGAACATTCTACTTTAAATTTTTTTAAAAAAGTCATTGAAAACGTATGAAAAATGTCTTTTCGAATTGGCTTTCTTCAAATCCAAAAAAACTTTTTAAAAACTTAATGCTATATCTCTTGCCATTTTTGATTTACGTTAAAAGGAGGTTTGTCGTGGTGGCCCCATTCTATAAGATACAGTTTTATTTACAGCTCTTTAAAATAATCAAACTTCTGGAAAATTTGAGACATGCCCTCTATTGATTGGATATTATTCATTTTAAATCGACCGATATTGGCCTACGGACTATGCAGGGTACTGCTAAAAAGATCGGCCTAGATCTGGGGTCGGAAACCTGCGTCTCGCGAGCCGCATGCGGCTCATTTGATGCCAAGATGCGGCTCTCCAGTTCCATGCGCAAATATTAATAATTATATTGAAATAAAAATGTAAGTGGCTTTTAAAAAACTGGGAAATTTTGTAAATTGTAACTTTTGGCCTTTCCGTCTCAAAAGGTTGCCGAGCCCTGGCCAAGATCCATCAATTCACTTAGAACCCATAGCGATTTCTAAGAAAATTAATATTCATACAGCTTACATAGGGAAAAGTTGAACGCCGACCCCCGGCCCCAAAATATAGGAAACATTTTTACCTCGTTAAACAGCCAACATTTGCACTTTACGTGAGTCGAACATCAAGCCATTTACGGAAGTTATTTAACTTGCAAACAATTATAATACTCAATTCATTTCTACTAGGAGGATTAAAAGAGAACTACAAAAAGGCGTTTAAAAAATTAACACTATCCCACCCTTTTGTAAATTACATTTTTGAAATTGTAGGAAATGGCGTCAGCTGGCCGACGATCTAGAACCAAGCTGTTTATGCCCCACAAAGGTAGCTCCCTTAAGCGCAAAAAACAAAGCGCTAGTGAACTGTGAGTTGTTTTTTTTCTCAACACAACTTAACAAAACATACAACGTCTAGGATTAAATGGTGATAGTTAAAATGAGTCCTATCGCACTGGTTGAATTCGGATTTTTAAAAAAAAAAAAATGTGTTATGAGATATTTATGGTCAAATGAAAAGAACACTAATCAATCAATCTGACAACAGTCCACGGGTGACATTGAAAACTTGTCCACCGGGCCACCAAGCTTTAAAGTTCGAGAAACGCTTCTGTAGAGCATACAAAACTTGAATTCACCTCAAGCAAGTCCGTGTATCTGTCCTTATCCGACGCGTCGCCTTCGAAGTATGTCGGAAAGTACCAGAATAAATCCACGCCATCAAAGCCACGTTCACGTAAAAATGGGATTAGGAAAGATATAAATTCTTTGCGACGCGACCGAGTGGCCGCCATCTTGGAAAATGGTGCGCCGCGGACGTCACTGTCACCAACAGTGAGCAGCAATTTGAGTTTTTCGTTTTTCTTTTTCAACTCTCTCAAGTCTTGGTACCTTGCGAAGAAACACAATTCAGAAATTGTATAATATATATCTTTTAAAGATTAATTGAATTGTAGGGTTCTTAGAGGGGCAAAAAATTTAACCGTGAATACATTTCTTCAAATCGTTTTACTCAACTTCTTGATTTTCATTGTTCAGCTCGAGTTTTTTTTTTCCCCACGTTTTCAATTGGTATGAGAATCACTGTTGCGAGCGTGGTTACTTCATTTTTTTTAGTGAGAGTATTTGGTGTTGAGATTAGTTGCGTTTCTCTTCCTATAATATTTTACGTTGGTGACGTTTTTGGGCATGCCTGATCAAGTGTTTATTGTTGTGGTTGTAGTTACGGTGTTTCGTATGAGTGAATTTTAGAATTAACGAGTTTAACAACTCGATAACTACAATAAGGAATTGTTTAGCATTTTAGTATAAACATAAAGTTTGGTTTTGGAATGTCATGCGCAGAGGAACAGGAAGTGAGAGTGTGGAGATTATTCGAATGCTCAAGAATATGTTTGAATTATGAATGGTTTGCTCTAGCCATCATATATCTCATAGCATCGGACTAGCTATCGCCCACTTGAGTGTTATATGAAACAAGGGAAATGCATAAGATCAGAATTCCGATCCCGGTAGTATACCAGTGGGATCCTGATCCCGGTACGATATCGATGCGAAAAATTATACAACTAAATTAACTGTCATAACTATGGTACATTTACAACGATAGAGGAGCCCGACGGGGGGCCCATTGTATAATTGTACCTATTAACTTTTGCCTGTTATAGAGGGGCCTGATAAAATTGTGTGGTTGGTATCCTTGGATCGGTAGCACTATTTGCGACTATAATAATGTGACTTGCTTGTATGTATGCTTTGTCAAATTTTCATCACCTCAAAGCAACCCCCCCCCCTATTTCCCTATTGCTCGAAATTAAATTTTATAAAGTTATTTTTAAAAAAATAATTTGTTTTAGTGGTTTTTCATCCTGATTTTATTTAGTGGCATTAATTGTTACCTAGAGAATTGTTATTTTTTAAACAATATTTTTTTTCGTATGAAGCTCATTACTCTTTCTTGGATGTTTTGTTGTCTTAGCTAAATAACTTTTATTATTTTTATTTTTTTTTTAAAGACTCTGTTTATTTGTTTGTAACCGTTAAAAATGTTGCTACAGTCAGTTTAAAAGCGGTCAACTTATGACTCTGAGTTATCCACCAAGAAGTCCGAACGCACCCAACGATGTCTGACATTATCATAAATAGAAAAAAAAAAAAACATTTAAAAAAACCAAAAAAAAAAAAAAAAAAAAAAAAAAAAAAAAACAAAAACAAAACAAAAAAAAAAAAAAAAAAAAAAAACATTTAAAAAAACCAAAAAAAAAAAAAAAAAACCAACAAAAAAGAAACCAACACAAAACCAACACCAAAGTTCATTGTAAAATATTTGGAATATCAAGATATCTTACAACTGTTCCTTGCCATTGCTCCACGGCTCCTTCAGCTTGTTGCCATCAAGTGTCACCCCTTTCAAAAATACGTGGCTACAGAGAGTTGGATCAACTTGTGTCGGATGAAACAGGAGCGGTATATCACTTTGTGCGTACACTGTTTTAATCACACAGATGGTGCGTCTGCAAGCTGGGAAACCTGGGTGTTTAAAAATAAAAATATAAATGAAATAACTGTCTTTGTGAACACACTTTTTTTTTTACAAATATGACAGTAAGTAAGTTTTAACCTCATTCATATGAATAAGTTTGATATGTTTTTGTTCACTTTAAAATGTTTTTATTAAATTTAAATGTTAAAAAAAAAAAAAAATCAGAATTAGACAGCAAATTTATATTTAAGGTTGCTTGGGATTATGACAGAAATTGTAAAAAAACCATATTAGTCATTTTCTAAATCCTTAATATTAACTTCGCTTTGGCTCCTGGGTGAATTGCTGGAATTTTTTTATTTTTTTTATTCCGACGGCTATTTGAACCACTTCCCGTCAACCTATCTTGCTGTAAGTTGGCAGACAGACGCGTTGACGATGACGACATATTTTTTTTTCAAAATACCAGCACTAAAAAATAATCGGTTTATCCTGATTTTGGAGTGGAAGATAAAAGGAAATATAATGACATTGATTTCGCGAAATAAAATCCCATATAACTGCGCTAAATGAGATTCTTTTTTTTTAAAAAAAAGAACGCAACTGCTTTAGGTGCGTATATTTTTTCTTTGCTTTTCTGAAACGGTTAAAAAAAATCTGCAGTGTAAAGCGTGTGAGTCCTTAGAATATTAATTTAAAATAATAGAATATTAAAAATTAATATAAAAAAATTATTTAAAAACAAACAAACACTTATTTCTTAAGAGTTGTTTTATGCTTTGTAAAGTTAAGGGACTGCATTTGTGAGTCACAGTAGCTACAACTGCCGTCGCCGAAGTGAAATTTATATCATTCCAATATTATAATTTATTGATACAAATCTGTCGCCTTATGCCATTCAAAAATCCTAACTTCCAATAGTAGAAGACATCAATGCACAAGGTACAAAAGTTAAAGCTGCAGTGGATCCCTAGGGCCACGTTGTTATGAGTCCGAACAAGAAGGCTGGAGAAGGTCAGCTCAGCGGCAACACGACACGCCCATGACCCAACTTGACTCAGAGACCACTTCCTTCAGGTGTGGCCCAAAGGCTGGGTGGCAGGTAACATGATTCGAAAGCTCTGCTAAAGTATACCGCGACCTCATAAGAGCGATCTGTGGTGGAAACTGGCGCGAAACGAACAAAGCCAAGAGCACAATAAATGAGAATGGAAAATTGTCCAACCGGTAGCCAACGAAATCGACTAGACTCACGTAGGGACCCGAACTGTCGACCCTGTAACTATGCCAGCGAAAGGGTGAAATAACGGCTCGTCGGATGCCCTAGTGAGTAGGTGGGGGTTGATGGGTCAAGTCATGAGACCTGTGTCAATAATCTATTTTATCGCGACACCCGTTTGATGACACTTAGAAAAACTAGCCTTGGTCATAAGAATCCAGGCCTTACCCCGCAAGAGTGAATATTTTGAATCAAATAAACAGTGAATATGGTTGGTCGAAATTTTTAACGTATTCAGTTGATGTACGTTGTAGAGCCTAGACGGGACACAGCGTATTTAAAACCTATTGTTCAGTTCTTCCATAGTTATGGTTCTCCTTTTACATCAAGAATCAACAACATCCGAATTTTTATTAAGTTTTTTAAACTTTCAGAAAACTATTTTTGAAAACACTCAATAATGAGATTTTATAACTGTTTAAACAAACAAGAAATACATCTTTCACGGTGTATCATACTTTTCTGTGCCGAGGTAACTATCAAACTGACGAAAACGGTGAGTATCTTTGGATGAACCATTTCGACACTACAGTTAATACAACTTCCAGCTAAAGAAAAATCACCACATGTGTCAACACCTTTCATTACAGATGGTACAAAGGTTCTAAAACTGTGAGTATCTTTGGATGAAACATTTCGACACTAAATTTAATACAACTTCCAGCTAAAGCAAAGCTACTACACGTGATGACATGTTTTATTCAGATGGTACAACGGTTCTAAAAACTGTACGAGAAATAAATATTGAAAAAAAAAAAACCCATAAGAAATGCTCATTTATTTAATAGGTTTCATAGTGAACTTTTAAGTACCACCTTTGCAGTGATTATTTGAGAACTTCCCACACCCCCCCGGGGGGGGGGCACTTCAGATTTTGTTTTTGTTGTGGGGGCAGTACCAGCAATGCCAGTTGATGTATTGTTGGGGATATTTAGTTCGGGGGGGGGGCCCTTTGCTTTACCCGGCGGGAGGGGGGGGCAGAGCCCCTACCCAGGAGATAAAGCTTAAAGAAACACTGCCACCTCTGTGGTAAAGGGTAATAGGTTTATGCTAAGAATGGATGAACCTTGTTCACTGAGACACGACAAGTAGAATTAAAGAAGCTTGATGGATGGTGACAATTTTAGTTCATCAAAAGTCAGAGACTAAACTGCGGATTTAAATTTATGAAATCAGATTTAAATAAACCTTAGTTTTAATCGGGCCGGCTGGGCTTAAACTTAAGCTTATTTCTTTAAAGACATTGTAATTACCATGTGGCAGGTGTTGATCTGGGCGTTGTTGGAATTATATTACTAAAGATGATCCTATTAAGTCACTGTTTGTTTGTTGAGGTTCCTATTTTTCAAGTTTTCCACCACGGCTACCAACGTTAGGATTCATTTGAAGACACACGTAATCGGTTATGAAATTATTTATTCTTAGAAAGTAATTCTATAACGAAGCGAAATTTTACAAATTAAAAATTATTTTAGAGGGATATTTCAATAATTTAATCAATAATGTTGATCAATAAATTATCTTATTGTACTCAATAAAACTGAAAAACAGATCAAACTTTAAAAGAGGTTCAGTTCATGTAGCTAAAATTGTAAACTTAGGTGTTGATTAAATGAGGAAATAAAGATTGCTCAAAACCTAGCAGCACTGACACTCTCAAATCTTTGGTCTGTGTGTCTGAGTGTGTCCCTGAGTGTGTCAGTGCCAATGCTTGTGTTTGGGTGTCTGCAATGAGCAAGTGTGTAACTGTGCGTGTGTGTCAATGCTTATGTTTGTGTGTGCAATGAGCAAGTGTGTAACTGTGCGTGTGTGTCAATGCTTGTATTTGTGTGTGCAATGAGCATGTGTGTAACTGTGCGTGTGTGTCAATGCTTGTGTTTGTTTGTGCAATGAGCATGTGTGTAACTGTGTGCATTTACGTGTGTATGTTTCTGTTGGTTTGTATGTGCATGTGTGTCTGAGTGTTTTTGCGTACGCGTGTGTGTGAGTCTGTATGTGTGTGTCTATTTGTTTGTATGTGGATGTGTTTATCTGAATGTATCTATATGTTTGTGCTTCCGTATGTGTTCTATCTGGCTGCAAAATCTTCTGAAGGACAATTGACACGCTTTCCGTCATCCTATTAAGCTGAAATTTGGCACATATTTTCGTTGCTGATGACAACCAATTTAATCACCCCACCGCCAAACACCCCCCCCCCCCCCCCCCCCCTTTTTTTTTAAAATGTATCTTTTCCATGTTGCAAGGGATGGAAGAATGTTAATGATTTGTTCAATGACTGGGTTTTTTCCGTGTGGAGATTACTTGTGTCGCTGTGTTATCTGCTTTGTATTTGTGATGTTTTAGGGTTTAAATACATTTTTAGTCTACTAGGTTTTACATGCATTATGTTTGATAACAAAAAATGTATACCACAAATCAGTTGTTACTACAGTCACATTAATGATAAATGACGTACAATTGCATAAATGCAAACAAAAATAGCCTTAAGGGATTATAAGAAAAAAAATTGTTTTTAAGGGGTTGTTTAAATTTTGTTTTTGTTTCTGCTACTGATGACTAATATTACATCAACGAAGTGGCCTCAATAACCGATTTCATAGTACATTCATTAAAACACTCAAAGGGGTCAAGCGTTTCTGATTTCATTATTTACAATGCCTAAAAAAAAATGTTGTTTAAAAATCAAAATATTCCCAAAGAACATTTGATTTCAGCACAGCCAACCGATTGCCACGAGACAATGATGAATCTCCAAAGACTACAAAACGTCGCCCAGGAGATGCTTGAAGAGACAGAGACAAAGTAAGCATCTCATGCATATGTATATATATATATATATAAGAATGAGCTATACTGACATAACGCTAAAAGACATAAACTATTTTGATACGTTTGGATTCTAAAAAACAATCATAGTTATTCTTGATTTTTTTTTTTTACGGCAATCGAATAGATTTACATAATATTTTATTTTAGCAAAATGTTTAGGTATTATCATTTTAAATTACAAATATATTTGATGTAATAAGTAAGGAACTATTTTAATCATTTTAACCGAATATAAAAGTTATGAACAAAATTATTAATCAAAATTGTATAATATAAGAATTGCATCTTAATCACATTTATCGGAAAAAAAAACTAAACATCTGTTATTCTTAGTGCGTATTTTAGTGCGTTGTTGATATTGCGAAAAAAAAAAAAGATTAATTTGATCTAAATAATTATGCAAATGACGTCATAGCACGGTTTCCTATTTTAGCCACAGCTCTAAGCTTCTTTGAATTTTAAACTTTGCGGGATAAAACTGATAATGTATTTTCCTCTTCTTAAAGGTAAAATTAATACATATAATACATTACTTTTTAAATTGCTAAAATTTTCTAAATTAAATACAAATTTAGCTTTGTATTTTTAACATTGAATTTTTTTTAACTTTTATTCTTTTAAAATAAAATACTTTTATGAAATTTAAAAAATAGCGGAAGATACCGTGGATGATTTTATTAATTTCTTTTAAACTCTGTTGGGTGGCGGGTAGGAAGAAGTAATACGATAGTTTCATTTGCCCAAGTCAGCACACGATACGCCTCAGAATGAATTGGACAAATAATTAACCTTCTTAGGTACATATAAATGGGGGGTTAGGAAATAGGGTGTGTACAATTTTATGTGGATGACAATTTCTTTAAATCCAATTATGTTGAATTTTAAAAAGAGTTGCTCTATTCTCATTTTACGAATTAAGAAACAAAATAAAAGTATATGTAAAAAATTATAACAATGAATATAAAAAACCCAGTTATTTTACACAAGCGAAAATTGAATTTAAAAAAAGAAATAGGTTAAGACTATCTTAGATGAACGATAGATAGATAGATGAGAGAAGATAAATAGATCGAAAGATCGATAGGTAGATAGATAGATAGATAGATAGATAGATAGATAGATAGATATATAGATAGATAGATAGATAGATAGCTAGCTAGCTAGCTAGCTAGATAGATAGATAGATAGATAGATAGATAGATAGATAGATAGATAGATAGATAGATAGATAGATAGATAGATAGATAGATAGATAGATAGATAGATAGATAGATAGAGAGATAGATAGATAGATAGATAGATAGATAGATAGATAGATAGATAGATAGATAGATAGATAGATAGATAGATAGATAGATAGATAGATAGATAGATAGATAGATTATTGTCTGTAAATATATCCCGTATGCGCTCATATACCATTCATTCGATTGGGATGTTTTGCATGCGTCGTACATTTTTCTTAATTAAGGCCCTAAATTCTTTTTTTTTTCTGTCATACTGTCATGACCTAAATATAAATTCCGTATGCTTTCCTATGCCATTGATCCGATTGAGATAGAACTTTGGTAAATTGTTGTTAAAATATTGTTTTCTTATAGGAGCTATAAACATATAATTTCAAACATAGTTATTGCATGGGTGGATGGAATTGAATAAAATGCATAATAATTAGGTTTCTGGTTTATTGCAACCATTTTACAATTTAATGTTTGGGGCCTAGCGGCCTTATTTTTTATGTATAATGGTTGGATCAATCACTACAAGTTTTTGGACTAGATTTAAAAAATCCATGATTCTCACGTGGACAGCAGTATGAGGCATGCTCACGCATGGAAACACCTTCTGAAATATTTGTGTACGCACCAGACGAAACAAAAAAAAAATATATATTTAAAAAATTACTTTAAAAACCTAATTTAAAAACAAACACTTTTTTTCTTTGAGTGGAATTGCAATGTATGCCGGGCGCTCGCTTGTTATTAATAATATGTATAGGGTATGTACCAATCTGTGAAACAGAATCCTATACGTGCCCACCACGAACGTGCATGTGCGTTTTCCCCACATGGCTGTATCAGTACCAGATGCGCATGAGTGAAAAATGCAGTTGGATTGTGCAGTATTTGGAAATAGGTCTGCCATACGCCCAAGAAGATGCAAACATGGTGTAGTTTTATTGTCGCTCATGCCTAATGGGGGTTCAAGCGTTGAAAAAAAAAAAAAAAGGTGAACAGGTGGCATAACAATTCCTACAACGATTTCATAAGACTGCAAAAAAAATAAAGTAGCTTATTATGTATATTTTTACGAAATTTCGCCCTTCTGGTCGTTCACGTGTCAACGTAAGGGGGAAAAAACTGGTCGCCCAGTCACCGGTTCGATAACTGAGAATCCGGCACCTATTCTCCAGTACGTGGTTTCGTTCGACCCGCCGATGAACTCCTCAGTAAACGCATGAAGAATGAAGACAGCCACACTCTTGACGTCATCGTGAACGTTTTCACAGGCCTAGTGATTTGGAACATCCCTTCAGGATTTGAGAAATTTTTTGGGTGGGGGGGGGGGGGGAGGGGGGGAATGGGGGGGGGGGGGGGGGGGGGGGGGGGGGGGGGGGGGGGGCCCCGTGACTTGACAGTTCTGCGGGACGTTAAGATCAGTAATGCGTCTCAGAAAAAAAAATCTCTAGCCGAGATGAATGAGACAAAAAATGTTTTTCGGGGTGAATAATTTCGCTATAATTGCTCCACCTTTGGGT